ACGAGTGCTAATACTGGGTGATGGGTTCGAGGCTCTTACAGTCATTGCACATGTTGCAGCTCCCTCTATCAGACACTGACAGTGCAGTTTTGGGTGGTACAGATGAAAAGTGTCAGAAACTGTAACAGATGTGTGACAGAGACACAGCTCCATCCACTGTTGGCTAACTGACAGGCACCCTGTTAAGACCAGAGTTTATAAAGCCCCATGTGTGCCTGCTCTGGTTTAAGTTTAGGCTTTTCTTTTTAGAGATAGCTTAAGTCAGGGGGAGCTTATTGCATTTTGGCAAACATTTTTTGTTGTCATAATTCATCTCTGTTAAATGTCTGGTGAAAAGTGTTGAACCAAGTTAAAAGCACAAAGAAAACACCGCCGTGTCTCTGCATCAGGCTACATATGAACAGCAAACTCACCTTCTTGTCAGGGTCTGTGGAGCTCGCTGTGGAGCTGACTGAAGGAGACCGCAGGAAAAGATCTCTCCTCAACCTCATCTGGTCTTCATCATCATCCTTTCTTCCCACCCTGTACTCCTCCACCTCTCTCTTCTGCTCTTGATTTTTTGCATCTGCTTTGACTTCATTGTCTTCTTCCTCTCTCTTGACCTTCTCCTCTTCTTCAAATCGTGCATCTTTCTTCCTCTCCTCTTCGATCTGGCTGGTGATGTCAGAGGGGGCAAAAGCTGACCACTGGTCCTCACCTGCATCGCTGTCTGAGTACACGATGACACGCTCTGCTTGGAGGCAGTCACTGAGGTGGCTGTCACTGAGGTCATCCCTGATGGTGAAGTCGGGACCCCAAACTTCTTGTGACACCAGAGGATGTGAGGTGGCGCCTAGTGGCTCAGATGGTGAAGGATACAGCAGACTGTCTGAGGGGAAGAGGAGATCTTCCTCTAGTCCTCTGATCCAGCTATCCTCTTCTTTTGTGTCTTTTGTTCCTGGGTCTTCTCCCTCTTCTCCACCCCCCACCTGCACACCCTCTGTATCCTCTCTGGTTTCATCGTCTCCCTCTATCTCTCTTCTTTCCCAGCTATCACTCTCTGTTTCTCTTTCGTTTCCATCTTCTCCCTCTATTTCCCCTCTCCCTTCATCCTCTCCTCCATCACTTTCACTGAGGTCTCTTCCTTTCTCCTCTCCCATCTCAAAAATGACATAGTCACACTCATCTCCTTTCCTATTTTCTCCTCCTACAGCCTCGTCTTCCACCCTACGGACCCCAGGAAGACACAGTTGGTCCTCTTCCTGGTTGTGGCAGCTAAAAAGGCTCTCTCTTTCTATGTCTCTTAGCGGTGCTGATGAGCTCATCTCCATGGTAACTGGACTGACTAGCGGTGGGGGAGAGGGAGGGCAGACGGGGTTATTGCTGCTGGAGCTACCGTTGTCGTGGTTAGCGTCTGTTAGCTCAGGTGTTGTCCTCCTTAGCCCAGTTGTAGCTCTCTGAGGAAACATACGTGTAGTTGTAATTCATTTTGTGGTTATAATGGAGCGGAAATAAAAAAAAAAATACTTCGATTAAAAAACATGAAGTCAATTCAAAAGTCCAATCTACTAAAATCTCATAATTATGATGACAATGACGGCATAGCTTATGGGTTTGCATTCTTTCCAATGAGCAGCAGTGAGAGTTCAGGCTAATAGGTAGACGGACACACATGGATGTGACACAGTGACACCCAGAGGAGGATGACAGAGTCAAAGAGGGCTATCTGAAGAACAGGACTGCTTTCCTGCAGAATCTCACAAAGCAGACGTTGGTGTGAATCATGGATGAAAGTGCTTCTGTCACTGCTGTGCTTAGCAGTACGAGGTTGTAAAGGAAAAGAAAGCACACCTGGTGCACTAACCAGTTCTGATAATGAAAAACAGCTCTTCTTACTGATGCATATACAGCAAATACTTAAGCAAGGGTGGAGGTTACTGGAGGTGGACAGGCTGCTTCTGATTGGAGGCTGTTAACATTATAAATTTCATTTAATTTCGTGCCAGCTTAGCAATGGTTTAATCTACATCACAGTTACTCAGTTAATAACACTGAAAACACAGCAGGGAGTAACTCTCTATGAGAAAAGTCACAGTTTTAACTTGGTATCTCAAATATGTGTTTCCCCTCACTGGGCCCACGTCCTCATCTGAGGTGTGATAGCGTTTCAGTAGGTAAAGGTGAATGGCTTGGACAAGAATTGAGCTGCGGTTTGGGGAAGACCCTGACCGGGCCTGGCAGGTCCCCATGTACGAAATAGAAGTGAAGAAACTAAAGAATTTAACAAGGAGGGAGGGTGGGGCACGTAAATGAGAATGAACAGCTTGTAGAACTGGGGGAACATACATTTGGAGGTGTGGTCCTGAAATTCTGATACTTTATCTCCAATTTATAATTTGACTCTAGTTAAAGTCTGCTTCTACAGTCACCTGTATTTGGTGTTACAGGTCTGTCACATAATACATGAAGGATCAGTGCTAATCAGAGATCAGAAACATCATGAGAACCTTGGGTGGAGGTGGTCTGCAAAGGGGTTTGCAGATGGGTAACAGCTGTGGGTAGGCTAAAGCATCTTATCGCCTGTTTGAATCTATCACCCTACATGGTTTAGTAAATTAGAAGTTAAAACTGGTATATCTTCAGCAGCTGCACAGGTTTGCACACGAGTAGGTGGAGACCAAACACAGAGCTAAGATTAACGTAGAAACACTTGGTTAATCAACACACACTGTTACACTTACACTATAATAAGGCATATGCAAATATACAATTACTCAGCAATTACTGAATATATTTGAATATATAACCGTCCACATACTCATGAGTACATCAAGGTACATTAAAGTACTGCACATGGCCTCATATGTTTGATGAGATAAACTCAAGCATCCTCTCATTACCATGGTGGCACTGCGTTGGCTGTGAGTGGGTTTGCATATTATTATGGTCTGTCGTTAAAAACATGTGCTGGTGACAGATGGGAGGTGTTGCTATGGTAACACTAAGTATAGCTGCAGAGGCAGGCAAGCTGCTAAAGTCAATTCCTTTTCAGTTCAGTCCCACTGTGAAGAGAGATCACACATTATAGCTCATCACTTCTGTTTGGTTGCGTGAATAAAGTGACTTCATACAAAAACTTCTTTAGTTGCATAACAGCAAATTTATGGTATAACATTCATAAACAGCTAACATAGGAACTAAAATGACACCGAGCAAATATAAACTAAAACATATGAAGACAGAGTCCTCTGCATCAATGACCCATGACATGCATACCTGCACCAATGTGTCAACTGCAACACTGGATCAGTGCAGCTGTAGTGTGTAACAAGTTTGTGACAGTAAAGTCATTAGACTTTCTCGGTGGAGTAATGCTTTTTTAATGCAGCACCTCTCTGGTTTCTAAAAGTTCTACCTAACAGGATTTATCACAAACACTTATGAAGATGACCTGTTTCTTGTCCTCTTGTCCTTTCCAGCACTGGAAATGATTCCAGGCAGCATCAAGTTCATAAGTGAAAGGGGCTTTAATTTTACTCAACAACCTCAATTAATTCTGATGTGATGGGTCTCTGAAGGCATTTACTTTGAAGAGATGTCATTTCCAGTATGCTGCATAACAGATGATTAACGTCTCTCTGCATCAATTAGCATTAAGCTGTAGTACAAACTGAGTGAACGTGCATAGACGGAAACACTTACTTACATTTTGATTCATAGGGGAACAAAATTACTTGTCAACCAGAGCTCTCGCTGCTTTATTTAGAGACGTTGTTCTATCCGTGGCATTTTTAATCAAATTCATGGGAAAGGTTGCGTGCATCTACCAAGGCCAACCATCCCAGCTCACAAATCATTTTGTTTACACTTTAACTATTAACCCTGCACTTCCAGCTTTCGTAATATCATGCATAGGTTTTAACTATGCTGGCAGTTAGCCTGTAACTGTTGTAGCCTTATTCTGCAATTCTACTTTAAGCTTTCCAAGTATAACAGCTGTCTATTGATTTTAGCTAACAGTTCATCTGTGGGTTTGCATGGATTCTGTCCAGAAACTCCAGTTTTATCCCACAGCCCAAAGACATAAATGTTAGGGACTGTTTATACTAAACTTTCCATAGGTGTGGATTTGAGAGTGTGCAGCTGTCTGTCTTTTTGTGCATCTGCTGTGGTGGACTGGTGACCTGTCCAGGATATACCCTGCTTCTGCATAAGGAGGTAAAAGCAGGAGGTAAAGTGGCGACACAGTATTTTGAATTTCAATTGTTGGTTATGTTCATAGCTGAGGTGGAGTAGTGGGTTAAGGGTGTGGTGTGAAGGAGGCTGACCAGAACACATGAGCCGGCAGCTCAGGCTGAGGGAAGAAGCTGAAGCATCCCGACAGCACTGTAATTAGAAAAGCATGATTGGAAATAAAGCCTCCAATGATCTCCAACGCTGTGGATACGGGGTCCTCACTTTACAAGTGAAACCCAGGCGCTCTCGTACCCAGTCCGTCATGTGCATGGAGCAGGCAGCAGTGCACCAGCACCAGCTGTTGGAGGACAGGCTCGCACATACCCTCATGTGGCATTGTTGGAGAGAGAGTGGGTGGATGTTAGGTAAGTGCATGGGGACTAGGGCTGGGCGATATGGCCTAAAATGGTAAATGGCCTGCATTTGTATAGCGCTTTTCCAGTCCCTAAGGACCCCAAAGCGCTTTACACTACATCCAGTCATCCACCCATTCACACACTGGTGATGGCAAGTTACATTGTAGCCACAGCTGCCCTGGGGCGCACTGACAGAGGCGAGGCTGCCGGACACTGGCGCCACCGGGCCCTCTAACCCTAAAATCCATATCACGATATAATTTGAAGCACGTGCGGTAACGATATATATCTCGATATATTCTTTTCTTCTGTATAACGTATTTTCCACACTTAAAATCCAGAGTGTGCCTTATGTATGAATTCTGGTTGTGCTTACTGACCTCGAACCGATTTTGGCAGAAATCTGTTAAAAATGTTTTAGTCTAACTTTGGTAAGCTGCACTGCTTGATGGATTGTCAGAGCATTATGGCTGCCGTAGTGAGGAGCTTCACGGAGTAATCTGGGTCCTAAACTCCGTCATCTTCAGGTCCCAAAGTCAAACGAACACTGAGAGTTAAAAACGGTCTAAATTCTTTCATCTTTAATTAAATCATCAGTGTTGCTGCTTTATCGGGTGTAACAATTAAGTTTAACATCCATGAAAACAGAAGTTATTAAATTTAACTGAGTTAGAAGTTAGCAGGAAGTTAGCTCGCTAGTTTCCACCTAAACATTTCATACCATGTTCTGACTGAAAGATTTTTGAAACTAATTCAAACGTACAGCTCTGCTATCACTTCCAACATAAATGAAGACAGAAAACTAAACAGCAGTGACGTTTGCAGGGTTACTGAAGTTGGACTACCTGGTATATAATGTTGTGCTACGTGATTGCTAGCGACACAGCTATGTTAGCATAACATTAGCACAGTGAAGCTGGAGGATGAACGCCAACTTTTTTTCCACTGGATAAAAGTTAACGTGAGGGATTCTGGTGGTCAGGGACAAATGCAATCACATAGCAGGATGCTATACACGGGCCAAACTTCAGTCAGGAGAACAACTGAGATTATTCATCCACAATACGAGGTTAGTTATTAATATACTGCAACAACATGGGAACAGAGCAGCTGTGAGAGAATTCAACATTAATGAATCAATGTTACGGAAGTGGAGGAAGTGCAGTTTTTGGCTTTCCCCATATTTCAAAAGTGCTTCATCTCTTTGCTGTGACTGTCGCCATAATTTGCAGATGATAATGGTTTTAGCCACTGCGATGCTTTCGACCAAAACAGGCGCCGCTTGATGACATCATCAACATGCGCTATCGCGATAGAGCGGTATAGTCAAAATCTCTATTGTTGGCCACATTTATATCGTTTCTATCGTATATCGTTTATATCGCCCACCCCTAATGGGGACATAAACAAATCCCATAGGCTGCGGTTAGCTCACACTGGATGCATCCCTTAATTCTGGTGACAGATTGGCTCGGGTTTAATAACCTGTTGGGAAAGTGTGTGGATGCGTTCATGACCTCACCAGAAAGGGATAGAAAATCCACTGGTCCCAGTTAAGCATGTCTGTGCACCAGCACCCAGAGCGATGTTAAAGCTGAGTGAAAGTCAACCCCAGCCTAACAGAAAGACCCTGAACTTCAACAGGTAACCAAGGCAGTAATGAGCAGTCAGGTTTCAGCCTCGATTTCTACCCGTTCATGTTTCTAAAATAAAATCCCTGTGTTGATTTTGCTAAGTCTCTTTGTGCTTGTGCTTTGGTTTTTGTGTTTGCTTTTGCATTTTGTCCTCAAAGCTGATTTTTTAAATCAGCAAATATGAGTATGTGTAAAGCTTTGAGCAAGTGTGATGGCTAGATGACTGGGTCA